ATTTAACCTCTTCCAGGGCCCATATTTACAAAATAGAGACTTCTGGGAATCCGTACTCTGGTCTCAAGAGACCAAGTCAATAATTTTGGATCCAAAAGCATCCAAAATGTTCTGGTGTTGCTAGAGGAGGAGTACAGTGAGAAGTGCTTGGTACCCACAGTGATGTTCAGTGGTAGTAAAGCTTTTATATAGGGATGAATGAGTGCTGAAGGTAGGAGTTGTATATCAATGCTGTCATGAATTCACACACTACTGTGTGATGTAATACAAAAACTTGAAACAGAAGATGCTACCCTCCCATCATTCCCTGCATTATTGGGCATTTTTTCAGCATGACAATGAAGATATTCATTCTCCCAAGGTGAAAATCCTTCAGTGGACATGTATTTCACTCAGTCTTAACGCTCTTGAGCAGCTGTGGGGGATTCTGTAGAGACGAGCTGAGCAACACTCCCCATTAAAGACCAGGGCATTCAAGGAGGTCGTCCTCCAGGAGTTAAACAGCACAGATGTGAAAATTTGTCATGAACTTGTACACTCAGTGCCAAGAAGGGTCAGAGTAGTATACTTTAAGTTCTGGAGGACATACTAAGTACTAGAATATTATAATTTTTTTTCTGAAATAAATCTAGGGTGTACTCATTTCTGCAATTCTTCATTTAAACAAAATTAGCTAATTTACTTATCTTACAGAAAATATTGGCATATATTTTGTTTTGTTTTTTAAGTATATGTCTACTATGTTTCAATTTTGCCATCTTTCCATGAATTATATTAATTATATTAGTGATCATTAAGAAAATACATATTTTATATTTATTCAGAGGGGGTGTACTTTTATGCTGTGCACTGTATGTGTGTATATATATATATATAAAATGTGTGTGTGTGTGACCCTGGACAACAAAACCAGTCATAGGGGGGGTTTTTTTATATACATGAATTATCTATCATCCATTGATGTATGGTTTGTTAGGATATGATTACAATATTTGGCCAAGATACAACTATTTGAAAATCTGGAATCTGAGGGTGTAAAAAAAAAATCTAAATACTGAGAAAATCGCCTTTAAATTTGTCCAAATGAAGTTCTTAGCAATGCATTTAGGAAATTTACAAAATATCTTCATGGAACATGATCTTTACTTAAAAGAAAATCAACAATTTTGCCCCATACAATGTATTTTTGGCTATTGCTACAAAAATACCCCAGCGACTTGAGACTGCTTTTGTGCATGCTTACATTTTGAGTCATTTTGTGAGATTCATCGGTTATATTTGTGCTAGGGCTGTAGTACCCGAGTCCGGTCCAGACTCAAGACATTTTTCTATCGTCTCGGACTTGTCTCGGACTCGTTGGTCTTTGCTCTCGGACTTGGTCATTGGACTCGCCAAATGTTCTCGTTGGTCTCGACCGAGTCCAGCAATATGCTTTTTTTTCTCCTTCAAAACAAAACCACACTTGCATGTCGCGCCTAAGCAACTATGACCTGCGCTCTCCATGAAGACGCGGAAGTTTCAGCAAAGGAGAAATGGATTTGCAGCACTAAAAATCTCTTGCAGTAGCTCTGCTACTAAATTTATTTTAAAAAATGGCAATCCTTGTACACCTATGATCAGCTGTTTCTCCGTTTTGGCTTAGCTTTCAATTTTGTTACGGGAAAGGATGAAGCTGATTGGTTGATACTTGTCACATGACCCGCGGTGCACTTGCTGTGTTTTGAAAAGTTTAGATGTTTCTAATTTAATTTTCTACCTGTTAGATTGTGTTTTATTAACGTCTACACCTACTTCCTTCTACAGCATTTATTAATATTCGTTAACTTTAATTTCAGCATTCACTAATGCATTATTCAAATGACAAGTTGTGTTTGTTAACATCAATGCACTGTGAACTAACATGAACAATGAATGAACTGTATTTTTATTAAATAATGTTAACAAAGACAAAAATAAGTAGTGTAATAAATATATTGTTAATTATTCAGAATTCAGCACTCAACAAAACTCTGGCGTTTCAGCGATGACTC